ATACTGTATATATTGGTAATTTCATGTACATATAAATCATGTATAACAAACTTCCAGATCGAACACATGACAAAACACTGTAGTTGGGGGGTCAATATTCAACAGGGTCAATTTGCAACGTGTTTGTGTCATAAGTGCCGAAAAAATAAATTAATACCAAGATGTTGAGAAATAACCCCGGGTATAATATTCAACGTTGAAAAAATGAACCACGGGTCAATTTTCAAACCGGGTCGAAATTCTACGTTACACTGGTCACATCTGCCATGAGCCCAATGTATTGATCAGGTAGACGGAATAATCCGTAGTAAAATTTAGTATCGCAAAAGACCTACATGTAACAATTGGTATGAAATGTCAGTAAAAATAAGACCCAGTGATAGGCTGTATTTGCTAACAAGGTCATTAAAACGACCATGGAATTTACGAAATACTGACTTTAAACTAGATTGTTGAAATCCCTGTAACATCAACCTATTTTTCAGTAGCCTGCCTCGGTTTAAAAATTGATCGTATTCAGAGCATTCTCTTTAGTATCGAATAAGTTGAGAGACATGAACACCATATGCAGGTGATAATAGAATATTACTACATATATTACAAGTAAGAACTGTTGATGATCGATGGAAAAGTTGAAGTAATTTCGTTTGTCATATACTTTAGTTGATAGTGGTTCTTATCGTCTACAGTCAGTTAAACATCCAAATATGAAACAGAATTGGCAGACTCTGTGGGGTCTTTTATTTCGAGTTCACTGGGATATATCGAGTCGACAAGTGAATGGAAGTAACTATTGTTAATTGATATAACCAAGGCCGTAACTACCAAAGAGGCAAGTGAGGCAAATGCCTCACTAAAATTTAAGGGTTTCACTAAAGTGAACAAAGTTTTACTTTGAGGTTGAATTAATTATGTGTGTCTTCGTACTAAATTATAACTTTCAACTTTTGTTTTAATTTCTGTTAATCGATCATCTCACAAATTGCTTCATTATAGTTTAGAACGCATGTAAAAATAATTCAAAACGTGAAAACTTTCAAAGGTTGTTTGATTTAGTAAAACCCAGGAGCCCGTTCTACAAAAGAACCACGACAATGACCAAAAACTTTAATGAATTGTAAAAATTTGCAAATTATAATGATTCTGTTAAAAATTACTAGCATAAAAACTATCTTTCTAAATTCTTGTAAAAAATATAACAACCATTTTAAAATTAATGTAAGCTAGAAAGTTATAAAGTTTGCAAAGAGCAAAATTTCATTTTGGTCTTAGTCGTAGAAGCCCCCCTCCCCCCCCCCCCCACACACACACGAGAATCCCCATCAGGACACTAGTCTGGACCCGCTTAGGATTCCGGTGGCCCCAATTAAGTTCCCTTGCCTCACTAAAAATTGAGCCTAGTTACGGCCTTGATAACTTTCCAAAGCAGAGCAAGTTTCTCTTGGAGTGAACATGAGTTTCATTGTTCTCCTAAGTAAAATTAGAATTATACTCTATTTTTTAAGATCCTAAAATAAACTTTCATGTATAAATTGTAATCTGATTATATGCATAACATTCATACTATACAAATGTATAAATTCACTTCGTATTATACAGTGGGTATAAAAGTTTGAGAGTTGGATCTCAGAAACTATAGATGGTACAATAACTATTTTTTTCATAGAAATGATAACTGACCACTGGTACTCTACCCTAAAAATTTCAGACCCCGGGGCAGGGGACTTCGATATCTCCGAGCCCGATATTTATTCACTTGGTTTTATATCGGAGACATAAAAACTTGATGGTCGAATCTCTGAAACTAGAGATGATACCATCACCATTTTTTCCACAGAAGTGGAAACTGACCACTAGTATCTTACCTTCAATATTTCAGACCCCGGGGCTGGGGTCTTCCATATCTCTATGTCCGATGTTTATTCACTTAGTATAATATTGGAATCATAAAAACGTGAGGATTGGATCTCAGAAAATACCATTTTTATTATAGAAGTGGAAACAGAACACTAGTACCCTACCCTCATTCAGACCCTGGGGCAGGGGCCTTCAATGTCTCCGAGCTCTATGTTTATTCACGTAATTTTATATAGCAGGCATAAAAACATGAGGGATGGGTCTTGGAAACTAGAGATGGTACCATCACTTTTTTAGAAGATAGAAACTGACCACTAGTACCCTATCCTCAAAATTTCAGACCCCGTAACACATTTAAAATTTTGAATTGTGAACCGTGTTTAAGAACGCAGTTCACTTTTGAATTGTGAACTGCGTAATGCATTCCAAGATCTGATTACCTACTCTTCTGATGATGTGGATCTTTTTTTTTTTTTTTTAAAGAAAATGATTTATAACTTAGGCTAAGAGACAGAGATAGATATGGGCGTACTTTGATATTTCATTTGATGTATTACATGAAATAATTTCATGATTGAAGTTGATTGCACAAAAGATTTCTTGCAACCTTTTTTTTTCATAATAAGTATAATCTATCTATTTACTAGTGACGGGTCAATAATTTACATGGTTATAACATCTAAAGACGCAATGGCAATCCACATTTTTTAATAAAGTGTACAAAAATTAATTTATGCAGCAAACAGAAATTTATTCAGATACATAAATACAGATATTTCTACTAAAGAGATACTTTTATTACACTCTTAGCATTAGGCCGTCACGGTAGCTCAGTCGGTAGAGCGCTCGCTCCGTGCTCGGAAGGCCGTGAGTTCGAACCTCGGCCGCGACTGACCTAAGTCGATAAAAAATAGGTAGCAACTGTTCCTTCGCCAAGTTCTCGGTACTTTGAAGTGAAATTTGTGGGTCCTTCGGATGAGACCTTAAAAATCGAGTCCCCGTGTCACGGCAGGCGTTGGCACGATAAAGATCCCTAACTCTTCAATGGCCCTGAGTGCTGAGTAAAGGTCCAAATTTGAAGCCCTTCAACGGTATATGGTGACGTCTCTATATGAATTAAAAATTTTCGAATGGGACGTAAAACAACATACAGTCAATCAATCAATCATAATTAGCATTGAAAACAGTCTTTTTGCATATGCTATAAAAGCCGAATCAGCTTTCAGCGCTGATACGGATCCTTCTGGGCTGATATGGATCTTGCAAGGCTGATACGGATTTATATCACACCCTTGTAGATTCAACTTTAAAAAGAAAATACTTGTGATAATACATCTAATTTTTTTTTACCGTCACGGTAGCTCAATTGGTAGAGCGCTCACTCCGTGATCGGAAGGTCGTGTGTTCGAATCATGGCGGCGACTGACCTAAGTCAATAAAAAATAGGTAGCAACTGTTCCAGCGCCAAGGGCTCGGAAATTTGAAGTGAAAGTTGCGAGTCATTCGGGTGAGACCTTAAAAACCGAAGCCCCGTGTCACGGCAGGCGTTGGCACGATAAAGACCCCCAACTACTCAAGGACCGGGAATGCCGAATAAAGGTCTAAATTTGAAGCCCTTCACCTGTATATGGTGACGTCTCTAAACTATGCACTTGATTTGTTTGCTTAATACCCAGGAGCAGAGAAGAAGATCTTCAAAGAATGAAGGCATTTTCAATAAATAATCAAATAGAGTCCCCCTTACCAGAACCCCTGACGCCGGGGCCACAAATTTTACAATTTTGGAAGAAGCACCCTTGCTAATTATTACCATGTACTTAGTTTTCTGCTTTGAATACAGGGGGAGGGAAGAAGATTTTAAAAATATTTATGCATTTTCACTGTATGATTGTAGAGCCCAATCCTTACTCCAGAAACCCTGACCCTGGGGCCATGAATTTCATAATTTTGGTAGAGTTCTCAATGCTAGTTATTACAATCATAGCAACAGTTCAACTGTTTGATGTCCAGGAGTAAAGGAGAAGACTTTTGAAGATTTAAACTAATTTTGAAGGTTTTGGCCCCACCCATCAGGCCTCAGGGGAGAAGACACCATAAAATTCAGAATTGTTGTTCCTCTTCACCTATAGATGCCATATGCCAAAATTGGTTGAAATTGATTGAGCGGTTCCAGAGAAGAAGCTAACAGTGTTCAAATCTTAACGGACTACGCACAACGCACACCCGCACGACGCACGCCGACGGACAAAAACAGATAGCAATACATTAGGTCACCTGAGTGATTCAGGTGACCTTAAAAAGACTTATACCTGTGTATTGTGATATGTATCATTTTACGCCATTTATGTTATTTTTTTAGTTGGACCCAAGAAAAGTGATTTTCATTATCAACTTATGTTTTAATTATCGTGTATCAAAGCTCATTAAATTTTTAAAAATTTTAAAACAAGCAGTCATAAAAGCACGTAAAGTTAAACTTACATACGTACATGAGAAAAAATATTTTAATAAGTATTCTGCTAATCTTCGACATAAGTCCTGACAGCCCTTGTTTCTAGTAATCTGCTCATCAATCTTTGGGTGTCGACAAATATTGTCAGTTGAGCCGATAAACCATTTTAAATTGACTATGGTGAACTAAATAAATATAAACTCTGCAAAGAAGGATAATTAATTCAATTATGTTTTATAGCTATATTAACATCAAGGAGCATTTTTTTTTTTACATAATTGCACAAGTGTGTTCTATTTTTACTTTTCTTATAAGAAACTAGTATTAAATTTGGAAAAATGGAAGTCATATGTTAATGTTTATTCAACATAACCTAATAATTTATTCATCTTAAAACCACAGACCATGAAATTACACAACAGACTGTTAAAAGAGACATTTTACTCTGTATAAGAAAAGAACCCAGAGCATAGAAATACTGCAGGAAAGGTAATTATACTGTTTGAAAACAAAAACGATTTATTGTTTTTCCATCTACAACTGTTTATTTTAAATCATTTCAAGGCATGCCACTTTAGTAATTTACAATTTCCTACATTTTTTCATAGAATAATAATTCAATTCTATAATATTCTTTATAATCTATATCTGTTTAAGTTATTAATACATGAAACTTGTTTAATTCCGTTTTTGTTTAATGATCCTCAAACACAATTGAACAGCCAAGATGGAGTTTATTTTGCATGTTTTGGTGACTTTGACTGTCATCAGTGGTGGAATTTCTTCATTTCTAGATGAAAATAAACTTGAAGGTAAGTAAAACTGAAAATGTTTATATAAATCACTGTCGCCCAAAATATATAAAATATGTCGTTTTTAAATGGCTTTGAATACTAAAGTGTTTACCATATTGCACAGATCTCTCAAACATTATACCCCCTTCCCTCCACCGTAGACCTTGTGTGAGACTTAAAATCAATCTTTCCAAGTCCTTCAATCATTAACTTAAATGTATTGAGTAATGACAATAACACTTGCACTCTGTCGTTTTGCAATTTGAAGATTAATTAAAATAGACTTTGAGCTAAATATCTAAATGAAGGATTCTATGTGTAGATATACGTGCAGTCTATATTTAACTCATTTCAGTGACATAGCTTTCAGACTAAAGCCAAATCTAACACTATGCTAATTATGTATGTAGCAATTAAAATTTGAATAAAATGTTTAATTTTTTATTGGTGTCTATCGCCTATTTATTTTTTATTTATTTTTCCTTTGTTTTGGCTTTTAATTTGATTTATTTTTCATCTCAATGTTTTTTCACATGTATGTTATTTATTTCTCTCAGAACTAAATTGGTATATGACTAAAAAGATATCGGATATTATCATTGAGGAAGTCGGCATTATATCAGAAAATATGACTGCAGATCAACGGGAATGTGAAAATAAAATTTCTCTGGTGTCAGACACTTGTTTTGAATGCAGTAGGTAAGTCGATCGATCACTTTATCTCACGATGCAATGTTATATTTGAATATCATTTGCAAATTAGCATTTTGTTTCTTTTTTACCTGTTTCTTTTTTTCCCCTTAAAGGTTGATTGTTCAACAAGAAGAAAGAAATGCAGAACTTTTGCAGCAGGTCTTAGGTAAGTTGTAGCATTTGAAAGATTCTTGCGAGACTTAAGGTATAATTTCTTTAATGACTATAATACTCTTTATAGAAAAAAGCCTTGAAATTGTATCTTGGTAAATGTTATATTCTTTTGGAAAATTCAAGATATTCAGTATGACACACAGAAAACATAGATTAATGTTGAGAGTACAGATTTTGTGAGAACTGATGAATGAATTGTTTAGAGTATTTTTCTACTTGCAGAGAATGTTCAACCGCAAAAAACAAAACCAAAAAATGGCGACTGGATAAAAATAAGAGGTATATTGAGTTTGTAATGTATAAAAAAGAGGGTCCTTTTTTAGACAATATTAAGAGGCCACTCTTTGATAATTTCCTTTTTTATAAACAGTAAAAAATTTGCTTTTTGTTCATTTTGTTAACAGACAAAATAGTGAGAGGTTTGAAGAAAGCTCTGAAGAAAACCAAGGGTATTCTATATTACAATTATTTTATGTATTAACTAAATCTATTTCAAATATTACATTCTGTTTTTGTCATTTTATCTCAGGCAAAACCAGTAAAAGACTCTAAATAAGGTTAATACAGAAAGATAAAGAATGAAAGCTATGCACTTGAAAATCAAATTACCAGTATAGTTCGATTAAGCATCTATTTTAACTTCCATGGATGTTTTAACCTGCTGTGTTGATTTTATTTGCAGAATTTTTTGAGAGAAAACTGGTACCGAGAATTGAGCTGCCAGACATCCCAAAGATAAAGTTACCAAAAATTCATGAAATCTCAAAGATTAAGTTACCTGCAATCGAAATACCATCGGTTCATATTCCAGATATTAAAATTCCAGATATCAATATCAAAACACCTAAAATCGAAATTCCCAAAATTCCACAGGTTAAGTTGCCAAAAGTTGAAATACCACCAATCACTTTACCAGCTATTAATATCCAAGAAATTAATTTGAAAACACCTCAAATTGAGATTCCCAAAATCACTATTCCAGAAATAACACTACCAAAAGTGGAAATTCCTAATATTGAAATACCAAATATTAGACTTCCTACTGTAGATCTCTCAAAATTTCGAATACCTAAAATAACAATTCCAAAAATTGATTTTGGAAGTTTTCAAATCCCTAAATTCACATTACCTAGTATAAAATTGCCAAAAATAGCCTTTCCAAAAATTGACCTCGGTAGAATTTTTAGAGGGAAACGATCGATTACTGACTGCAAAGAATGTGAACAATTTAGAAAAGACAGTGAAGAAAACATTGTGAGAAAAGGTAAGAACCGTAACTTTTAAAATACACTTTATAATATGTCCGTATATTTTTAAAATAGATTTACAAATATTTTAGTTTTATAAAATTTTAAAAATATGTCTATTGACTGTGAAATGTGCAATCTAATAATTTAAAATAGATATGAATAATGCAATGTCTAATATATGTGACTACATATACTGTCTAATGCTAAAATAGATGAAAAACATATTTTACATATACATTGCATGAACGCACTTTTATTATCAGTCGATATCAGCGAAAACATGTGTATGAATATTTGTTAAACAGTATGTGGTGCTCAATATATGAAAGAAACAGAAACAAGACAATGGACGCTGGATAAATTGAGACAGCTGTATTCTGGTCTAGAGAAGAATTTCTTATATAATGTGAGTGAAGAATTATGATAAGGGACTTTCATGTAGATTTAGAAGTATACTATTATTGTGCATTATTCATGACTGCTTTTCTCATTATATTTTATAAAAGTATTTTTTAAATGAGTATATTCAAATGGTTATATCATTTGAGGTACAAGTTTAAAAAAAAAATTGGAAAAGCTATTTATTCATCATAAGAGGCGATGTATAAATGCAAGCAGTTGGTATAAAGAAAAAAAGAAACACTTAAATAGGCTAAAATTATTTTTGTAGGTCACTTACGATGAACATTCTTTGGATTCCACCAATTTGGCTGTGAAACTGATCAGCATTGAATACAAGTTACCGAATACAACAGATATCAACACCTACAACGCCACGGGTGATGTGTTGTATCTTAACAATATGCCACGGTCGGTTGAAATTCTGGCATCACAATTGTACCAGGACTTTGTTAATTAAAAAAGTGTTTATATAGTGGTTGCTTCATATGTTAAGAATATTATGAACTTTTCTCCATGCCACAAAATAAAAATTATGATTACTTTTATATATATATATAAATGGAAAAAAAAATTAAAAGGCAACACTTCTAGTTAAAACGTTTTAACAAGAAGTGTTGCCTTTTTATTTTATTTTCATATTGATTATCGGACACTCTGATATTTCTTTCGTTTTTTGGATATATATATATATATATATATATATATATATATATATATATATATATATATATATATATATATATATATATATATATATATATAGGCTTTGAAAGCCAATGGTCTTTCGGCTGGGACCTTAAAAACCGAAAGCCATCTAGATCCCCGCATGCCATGTATAAGCGGAAAATAATTCATCTCATGATATATGGTGATAAAGAACAGTTTTCAAGCTCAAAAGTCCATTCAAACAATACTTATCAGGAGCAGAGCAATCAAGGACCTCTTAAACCTCAGAGGTGGGATCAGGTGTTCTGGAGGAGTGAGCATCCCTGCCGACCGCTTACACACATCGGGAAATAACGGAAAATTCCATCGACAATTCAATGTGTAAATAATGGCCTAACAATTAGTATAAAAATTTCAGTCAGCATTTTACTTAATGATAGATTTTTTTTTTTTTTTGCTGATAAGGTCATTCTATTGACCATAGAATTTACAAAATGTTGACTTTAAACGAGACTGTTGATATTCTTGTTTCATCAACTTGTTTGTCAATTACTTACCTCGTTTTAGAAATTGTTCATACGTAGAGTATGTCCTTACGTAATGAATCAACTGAGAGATATAAACCCCGTATGTAGGTGATAAGGGTATATTGCTGCATAAGTAAGGGAAGTTGACGATTGAAAAGTTAGTCATCACGTTTATCATGAAGCTTTGTTGTAAGGTAACCACATACGTCTTTTTCTATTAAAACATACAAGTATGAAACAGATGTGTCAGACTTTGTGGTATCTTTAATTTCAAGCTCACTGGGATATATCGTGTCAACATATGAATGGAAATAACTATTGTTGATTGATAATATGTCATCGATGTAAATGACGACTAAATGTCGAGTTGAAGGCCACAGCAAATGTTTTCTTCTTCTTATATTTAAGCTTTTTAATGATTTCTGCTTCATATGAATACAAAAATAAGTCTGCTAATAACGGGACGCAATTGGTACCCATGGGAATTCCGAGATATTGTCGGAAGACCTGGCGACCGTATCACTAACAAATCGTACATCGTAAATGTACGATTACGTTTACGATTATTTTACGTGAACGTATACGAGCGTTTCACAAAACATATCGTAGACGTAGCACTTACAATAAGCGAGTTAAGACCAACTTATTGGAACTCTTCTGACTGAGGAGGTGTATTTGTTGAAGAGAAAGAAAGGAAAAAGAACGAAAGAAAGGAAAAGATCATTAAAAAAAATGTGTAAAGGATCCTCGGCCTTGCTTCGTGTTTCTGTTCAAAAACTAGTAATTATAAAACTCGATATGTTTATTTATTTTATTTTCATTATTTAATTTTTTAAAAAAATATTTTTATTTTTTTAATTTTTTAAAAATATTGCCGATACTCCCATATGCAGGTTTGTCAAAGTATTTTTAAGAATTACTTCTATCATGGAGGTATATACTTATAATGTAGTATATAGATCACTGCCTATATTAATATGTATTATTTCGATATTTATCATGCTTCAGCCACTTCTCAGAGAGCAACTGCCTTACTCACTATATTTTTTGGACTGTATATTCCATACACAAATCTCTTCGTAAAGATGTTATCAAACTATCTATCGCTCAATTTCCCGTGATATCACGTGCAAATCTTTACACTCTGAATACATGTAATACCCTGTGGCAAAATAAATTATTAATTGTCACAAGTTCCAACACAATTATGAAATTCAAATCTGTACATTGACGCAACAGTCTATCAGCAGGCCCTCATCTAACAACAGCCAATCCGCGTCTAAATACGAGTAGATATTGCATGTTTAATGTTACTGTACATGTATCCATATTCATAAAGTGTGAAAAATTGATTTGATTTCGCCTCAATGCGTTAACCCAAACAATATTTGTTATAATTATTTATCGTTATTTCACACCAATACATGTATATGCTTAAATATATTTCAATGATATATATAGAAAAATAGAAAAGAAGACAAAATATTGGAAAAGGGGCTTTCTTTGTTGAATTTTTGTCTTCTGGAAAGAGGAAGGGTGGAAAAGGGACACATTTTCTATCTTCTGAGCCAGAATTTTTTTTTTTACTGATATCTTACCCAACACACCCCGATTTTCGACTTTATTTTAATTGTTTCTTTTTGGGGGGGGGGGATGTTGAAGGTTTTATTGAGCTTTTTTTTAAAGTTGCAAGTATGTTTTTTTTTTTTACTAAGAGTGTGTTTTAAGATCGGACTCGGTCTACACAATTTACTTGCAATGAGAGCAGACAGTAAAAAAGTAAAAGTGACAATCATTTGGAATCTTGCTTAAATTTTTGTTTTGTGTTGCTTTTTTCATGAAATTACTTGCACGTAAGTATCTTAAGAGTGCCCCTGACTACCCATAGACTTACGATCAACTTTAATTGTAACTCGCAAATCGTGACTCTTAGTGAAATGCTCTTACGTGCTGCGTTCAAGTTTACGTCTACGTTTATGAGCTACGATCTGTTAGTGAAACGGTCGCCTGGTCTCCAAAAACAACATAGATAAAGTCAATCAGAAACTCAAGTATTTTTTTGATATCAACTTCAGAGTATTTATGTTAACAATAAAAAAATTTTTAACAAAATAATTTTGTAAATGACCAATGACAAGGTAAATAAGTTTGCGAGTTCCATTTTTATTGAAAAAGCGGCTGTCAGTGATGTCAAAAAGCCTGGACTTTAATTTTTCCGTTGGGAATGGCTGTAAATAGCGTTGAAAAGTCGTAGTTTTTATGTTATTTTGGTAAAATTTTGTGATTTCAAATTTTTTAAAAGTTTCCTGGAATTTTTAAGCATGCACATCTGATTTAAACCACTCCTTGAATATATTGTTGCACAATACTCCTGAAGTTTCTCCTTCGCTGCTGTTTTTTTAGGAGAAATAAAGAAAAAGGCTTAGAAGGACTTTTACTGGAACCCGCTAATCGTTAAATATTGTTAGCTAGAATGACATTAAGAAAATGGTAAATTAAAAAAATAACTGAAAATATTGTTAGCTAGAATGACATTAAGAAAATGGTAAATTAAAAAAATAACTGAAAATTTTAAATTTAAAGTTAGAACTAAAATAAGAAATAAAATTAAAATTTTTGAAATAATTTCTTTTTTTTAATTAGAAAAACAACTATGGCACTTTTTTCTCTCCATAAATTCTCATTATCAAACATCGAGAAACTTGTAGACTTTACCTTTGTAGACCTGCGCGGCTGCACTCTCTCTCTCCCCGTTTCTATCTCCCTCTACCCCCACTCTCTCTCCCCACACTATCTCTCTGTCTTCTCTCTCTCTTCCCACTTTCTCACTCTCCCCCCACTATCACTCCCCACTCTCTCCCCGGTCTCACTCTCTCTTCCCACTCTCTCTCCCACCCACTCTCTCTCCCACACTCCACTCACTCTCCCCTACTCTCTCTCTTCCCTCTCTCTCCAGTCTCACCTCTCTCTCTTTCGCCCACTCTCTCTCCCACTCCACTCTCTCTCCACACTCCACTCACTCTCCCCCCCCCGGCGCTCTCTCTCTCTCTCCCCATTGTCGCTTTCTCTCTCTCCCCACTCTCTTTCCCTCTCTTTATTTATTTTTTGTCTGTCCTAGTGAATTGCTCTTTAGTCTCGTGAAATAAACTATATATAAGCTTTATATAGATTTTATAATTTATTTACAATAAAAAATAATGGAAAAAATACTTATTCTTTAACAAAGAGAAAATTCTTATCGTTATTTTAAAAGAATTTATAAAAGGTTTATTCTTGATCTTTTTATTTTAAAATGGATTTAGCAGAATTGTTTATTTATGCAAAAAATGAAAGTAATTTAAAATTACAAGGGCGATAACTTCACACAACAGAAAATACTGCTTCCCAGTTCACTATTAGATCATTGCGTGGTTTGTTTGCGTATTTAATGAAGAAGAATTTTATATGTTTGAAGAACAATACTATTATGTTTACTACCATGCAAGGAAGATGATATGTCAGCTGGAAATCCCAGTTGGATATTATTTGTTGTACCGTTATGAAAAGAATCTAAAATTATCCACATGCTGAGAGGAGGTCTATAAAATATTCTTTATTTGACCAAGTATGTAATAATGGTTTAACATTCACTATCCCTTTCCCTTGTATGCATTCAGTTTACTAATATTTTAATTTTTTTTATAATTTTGTCTTATTCAGATATCGTGTCGTTGTGTTGAATGTGAGCCAAAATGCATTTGCATCATGACTCCTGCGCTGTTCTACGCATTACCCGGTATGTCATATTTGAATGTTTGTCTGGTGCTTTATTCAAATGCATACTGTTAATAAAATGTACATGTAACCTACTAACACTTAACGCTTTTGAATGGATAATGTTAAATGATTTACCGTTGTGCCATCAGTGTAATTTGAGTAAATGTTCACCTTATAAAAGGCCTTAGCCATGCTTCTGGGAAAATTACAATCATTCTATTAAGCAGTAGAGCCATTCAATAAAAATAAGAGAGCCGTGCAAAATGTGTGCTTAAAAATTGTTACAAGGTTGCCTCTGTCGGGCATACAGCCCTCCTCATGTCATGTAACATTATAGAGATAAAATTTGTAAATGCTAATTAATTGAAATCAATCTGCATTAAAATGTACATATGCATTATGTAAATAAAATCCTTATAAGAAGATTTTTAGTGAAAGGAAAAGAATTAATTTCTTTCACTTTTATCCTAAAAACCCTTTTATATTTTTAAACCTCGTATCAGACAGCAAGAACGCTTAATTT